GACAAGTGTAATGCACCAAATCTGCTGTCAAATAACTTCATGAATTCATTCATCAAGTTCTTGACGAATTAGAGCATGTTCTAATTTTCGTCAATTTCTTCGTGAAGATCGGAAGTACCAACCCAACAGATTTCCACCCTCAGATCAGTAATGAGGTTATGTTATTGGAATATGTAAATAATTGAGTGGCGTCGTACTAGTTTTGCATTGTTTTTACTGATTTGTTACTTACAAACACTAATATTCATATAATATTGTCAAAACGCCACCGCTGTTGTATCACTATATGTCAGTAATATAATAATAACCAATAAAACTTTGACTTTGGATTCTATACGTGTTATTTTAGGTGGGCTTTTATGAAGTTTCCCTATTCCTAAAATTAACCGTTTTCGAGATATGTATTTAATTTTTTTCAAAAAAATGAAATGAGAGACAGTGACTAGCTTCATACCATGTGTATAGTAAGAAAGATAAAGCAACAATATTTATAGGGGTATAGCTAGACCCCTAAACCCCCATCCATACTTCCAAAGTGGCTTAATTGCATACAAGGTGCTAGAAATTTAATGCCGAGTTTAGTTAACTTCAAACCTTCATAAGTCGTTTTTTTTAAAATGGAACACCCTGTATGTATTTCTATATTCTGATACACAATTTTATTTTCTTTCGAACGGTATCAGGGTTCCCTATACCTATCTCTTCTAGTTTTTAAGTTATCTACTATTTTTTATGTAATCACTTAAAATCATGTAATTTCTTGCGAGGATAGCTGTGGAATTTTTAACAAAACTTCGAAACAAACAACTAAACTGTCAATTTGTTGTTAGTCTCTTGCAGTGACAGTTTAATTTAGTGTTTATAAGATATGGAAAACAATACATATTCAAATGCTGATATTTTAAATTTATTATTCATTCACGGACGTTGCAATGGGATTTTAAGCAGAGTACAGTTGTACAGTTTTTAATGAAACATATCCAAATTTACCACCAATGGGCACAAAAAAGTTAAGAAGAATTTTAGCAAATCAACTAGAGTATGGTCGAATTTGTGCAGAAAGAATTTTACCAAAACCAATAACTACAAATGAAGATAATGTAATAAATGTGCTAGCCTATTTTAATGTTCATCCAGAATCCTCAATTCGTGCCACAGAGTATGATTTGGGCATTTCACGAGCGTCCATTCACAGGATGCTAAGAACTAGTGATATGCATCCATACAAATTTAAACTACTTTCTGCTCTTCATCCGGGTGACGCCGTGCAACGTGTACAATTTTGTGAAACGATGTTAGTGCGACACCAAGAAGATCCACAATTTTTGCAACATATTATATGGACAGACGAGTCAAAATTTACGAGAGAAGGTATTTCTAATAGACATAATACTCAATTGTGATCATCTGAAAATCCTCATGTTATCCGGGAAAGAAACTTTCAAAATAAATTTAGCGTAAATGTTTTTTGTCTAATTAAAGATATCCAAATTTCTTACCATATCTACGAAGAAAATTTAAATGACGACAGATATCTCAATATTTTGCAAACGGTTGTGGCAGATTTTCTAGATGATATACCTTTAGAGCAACTAAGGAAGTGTTGGTATCAATTAAACGGGGCTCCACCTCACTGTCTCAATCAAATCGATCAACAGCTGACTGAAATGGTTGAAGATAGATGGATGAGATGCCTAGGACCGTGGAATTGGCCAGTGACGTCTCCCGACCTCACTCCGTTAGATTTTTATGTTTAATAAAGCAAAAAGTTTATTCTACACCCGTTGCTTCAAAAGAGGATTTGATTGCTCGAATACGACGATAACGATTTGAAACAAGAGTACCTTTTTAACGTAAAACAGTTCGGGAAAACGGAATTTGCTGTCCAATTTGTTAAAAAGTTAAAGATGAAAATGTTACACACGCAAAGTACCTAGGGCCCCCCATACCCACCCCAATGGACCTTGTGGAAATCAATGGATTAGTTCATCAAATTGCTCATCAAAATTTAGCTGTGTATACCAAATTTCATTCATTTATCACAACGCGATTGAGAGATATTGCAAAAAAATGATTTCCATTCCTCCCTCTTCAATGGGTCCCTGTGCCCTTAGGAAGCATTTCCGGACCCATGTTCATATGAACTTTTTAACTTAGTTTTGATCATAGAATCGGCCTGTTCAGGGTTGGCAGCTAATTATGAGACACCCTGTATATACCTAACATATTTGTAGTAAAAAAGGTAATTGCTGGTATTAATGGTATTGTCATGAAACTCCGTCATCCTAACATGACAGCCTAACATCGATAAAAACTTTCATACCCTAATATACTGTAATAAGAAGATGGTCTTGCAACAAATAGTTGGCAAAAAACTATTTGACCCTTAATAGGCTCCTTTAGTAAAATATTTTTTATTATCGTAGCCTTTCTGGAGCCTATATTTCCTTATATAGGGTTAATCAATTTCTACTTATGGCTAAATAATATTTCTCTATAGCATAGCTGTTGTAGCAGTATTTAAGTGCCTATCTACAAAGAATGTTTCATTTTGTCGTGTATCTATGTAATTGATAAAATAAAATTGTTATTAGTCTTTAACCCACCGCCTTTAAGTAGATACCTACCTATATATATCTTATTGATATAAATTTGCAGTAATATAGTACTTTGTGGTTATATACTCGTAACTTTACTGAATGAGGTTTTATAATAGTAGAAGAGGTATAAAGTTTCACAAGTTTCAAATGATACCCAGAAGTATCATGTTCTCCGTTCTCATGCTCTTTTTCGAATAATTGTCGCAAAAATTGGCAAATCTAAAAATCTTATCTATTAAAACAACGTCAGTCATTTTCATATAAGTCCTGATTACCTACTTCGTGTAATTTTCGTTAATAAACAACATTGTAATTGTAGCTAAAGGACCCCGCACAAACCTTATGGATTTCAGATTCCGGCGTAGGTATTTGTCTGGATTTTTGATATTTTGTACTTGATATCCTCTTGATCAAAAGGTCAATAGGCACAAAGTCCAAAAATGAACAGTTTTCAAGATGCTGAGGAGCAAAGTCCCCTAAAATGAAACATCTCTTGGAACCGCACCAGTAATTAGATACATATACGATTTTGGATTTTGGATCATAACAGATGTATTTAAGTGCAATATTTTCATATATATTTGGCCCAATTAACTCCCATAATCCTTTTACCCTAATATATATAGGGTGTCCCATTTTAAATTACACACTTGAATACCTCGTCAGGCATCTCGTCAGCAATCCGAAAATAACCCTTACGAAAGTTGTAGGGTTCAGAGGGAACACCGACGGTGACTTTCATTTTGATCTTGAGATTGAGCTTCAAGGTCATTTGAAGATCAAATATATTTTTTTTAAAAGGAACCTCTATTTTTGATCCCGGATTCGGAAAGAGCGCCAAATTTTACGTTTAGGTAGGTTCTATGGAGGACCACCAGGGCTAAGCCTATCCTTTATTCAAGGGGAGTAACACCCTATGTTTAATGAATAAGCGAACGCTAATCAAGGTGGTACTTCAACCGCAGCTAACCTACGCCTCCGCGGTGTGGGGTTAAGCGGCAAAAAGCTACATTAAATCCCTCCAGGCTGTGGAAACATGGCCTAGCGCTACTACGATGTGCGTTTTCCACGTAAGTCGCCGGTCCATCGTCACGCCCAGGTATCGCGTATGTATAAATACGTGTTTGTGTTGGGGGCGTGAGGTATGTCGAAGTTGTAAATACAATAGTGTAGAGATATGGAGATAGGACGGAGCCCTGCGGGACACCGGCCTCCATGGGACGGGTCGTGGAAAGGGTGTTTTGGATTTGGATGCGAAATTTTCGGTTGTGGAGGTAGGACTTAGTGAGTTTGACAAAGGATATGGGGTATTGGTTGCTGAGTATTTTCATCAGTAGACCATCATGCCAGGCATCGAAGGCTTTTGCGATATCTAGGAAGACAGCTGTTGAAGGCCCCCGTGACGTGCTCGGTGAGGCGTAGGATTTGGAGTTCGGTGGAGTGGTTAGGGAGGAAGGCAAACTGTTCGTCAGGAATGACTCGCAGTTCTTCGGAGTGGGTTTTTAGGCGGGAAAGGACTATTTTGTCTACGACTTTGTTCATAGCCGGGAGTAGGCTGATGGGCCGGTAGTTTGAGAAGGGAAGGTATGGTCTTTGTTGGGTTTAGGGATGAGGATTATGTTTGCCGTTTCCAGCGTGTAGGGAAGTATCTGAATCTGAGTGTAGCGTTTATTATGTTTAGTATGGCCATGAGGCCCTTGTGTGGTAGTCGCTTTAGTGTAATGTTGTGTATTTGGCCAGGTCCAGAGGCTTTTCTGTTTTTTAGGTGTCTTTAATTTATCTGAATTCGTCTGGTGTAACAGGTTGCAACATTATACATGTATAATGTCATTGTCGGGCTCTCTGTTAATTAACGCGTCGGGCCGCGCGTTCAGCCGCCTCTTTGAAATTCCCGTCGTCGTCCGGCAGCTGGGGTAGTCTACACTGTAGTTCCAAGCTGTCGGCGAAAACCTCGGCCTTTTCCTGGATCGTTTAAACCACCACCCCCCTGCTGCCGTGGATTGGCGGAAGTTTGCGTCTGGCAGGCAGTCGCAGGGCCCTCTGCGTTTTCCAGAGGCTATTTTGTGGGTCCAGCGACTCTCAAGTGCCTGGACCATTGTAAACGCATCTTCATTACTAGATTCTCCACTTCAGTGCATCAGCGCTATACAACGGCAAGTCCTTAATCTTTAATTTTAGGTCATGAAACAGGATCTGAATTTGTAGGCGCAGTCTATAAGATTCTTCACTCCTTGTTCATAGCCATAGTGTATATATTTCACTAGTGGTCAGTGTCACTGAGTCTCCATGGTCACTGCTATGCCATGCCCTTAGAATTATTTCCTAATCTAAGGCTATGGCAGAGATATATCCGATATATCTCTGGGCTATGCCCATATCTAGGGACTTTACAAGAGAACTAATTTGCCAACCGTTGGTAAACAAATACACATCAAAAAAAATATTTCTTTTGCTTATTTGTTAAACGAGAAAAAAACCGTGGTTTTATTCTAAAAAAAAATAAAAAATTAGATGGGGAGTACTGGGAAAGCTGTTGTAACTGGTTTTATTTGTAGATTGTGTTCAGAACAGAAGAAAATTGTTATTCATCTTTATACCGATAGGGCTAGAAAGTTGAGGTTACTAGAAAAAATTAAATTGTTGCCAATATCTGTAAGTAATTTGTTAATCAAAGAACGTGGATTTTTGTTTTAAATTCATAATATTTTGTAGGTAGAGAAATATGATAATCTTCCAAAAAGTATTTGTGAACAGTGCGTCAGTAGATTAGAGGCTCAATATGATCTTTTACAAAAGATAAGACGAAGTAATACTATACACCATAGCCACAGACTTTACCATGTAAGTTAAGTTATGAAATAAAAGTTGTTTAGTAGACGTTTGTATGCAAATGATTTAAACAGGCTTTAGTCTCGACATAGTTGATCTACAGCCTTGTGTAATACGACTACTGGCAGTTTATATAACACAACTTTCCACAATTCTTGTGAAAAAGTATTTTCAAAATGAACATACTTGAAACGTTTGTTCAAAACTAATGTTAGATCTTAAGAGAATCTGTGCATGCTTTCTAACTATATCCGAGCAAATAAGTTATTAACACATTTTTCATGAATCTAATAAATGAAAATAGACCGATATTCCTGCTAGAAAAGGTACAGTTTATGCAACAAAAATGTTGCAAATAATGGAACCAATTTGTGAAATAGTATGAACATTCATATATCTACTAATTCAAAAAATGTTTTTAGAGTAATGGCAGATGTCCGACTGAGTGTCCTCTTCATGGTATAGACGATCCTTCATTGTCGGAAGTGGACGCAGGCGATTCATCAGAGTCATAGTTGTGGTTATTTATATTGCACATTTACAAGTAAATAAAATTACATATAAAATAATAGTAACTAACCATTAATTAATGTTTGTTAAGTAAATCCAAAATGTTTATTCTCTTAATTTGTATTATTTACGCGTTTATATTGCCAAATATTCATACCTGAATTAAATATTCATATCAAATGTTTGTCTTGCCCTATAAAATTAAGACATTACTTTCTCACCATGTAATGTACTCCTGTACTTACTGTTACAAATTCCTTCCTTTACTAGAAAGTATTATTAATTTGGGTTACGGCTGTGTTCAACGAATGGTCGTTCAGCAGACAAATATTTCGCTGGTCACCTCAATCAGCTGATTGGGAATATTGGGCAGGTTTTAATATACAAGCCTGTTCAGCGTTGTTTAACTAGTCCGACCATTCGCTGAACACAGCCTACTATACTATAACAGTTTCGGTTCCGTATTACAACTCTAATCTTGTATGTTTGCAATGAAGCATTTCGTTAAAAAAACCCTAAACTGTTCCAATAGTTGCAGAAACATTTGCAGAACACTCGATTAACTTTTATTAATTAATATTTTAAAGTGACCTAGAAATGTAAAGATGTTAAAAAATATATTGAAGTATTAAATTTAATTTATAATTTACAAAGACCCGTAAAAAAAAACAGTTTATTGGTGTAATTAGTGATTTTAACAACGGGTATACTAAATTTCGATCAAAAAGTTTCCAGATAGATTAGAAATTTTTAACTAAATTTTTTATAAATACCATACAAAATTATCAAATATATCTGTGGTCAAATTATTAAAAACTTTCATATGGGATGTACCTTAATATTGATAAAGTTGTACTCTAATTAAAAATATCTAAGGAGCTCAAGTTCAAAATGAAAAAAAAAAAAGTCAAAAACATTTTTTTTTTTTAATGACTATTTCAATGCAGAAATTTAAATTCAATCAAAATAAATTAAAGCTATTAGACCTTAGTCAATAAATCTCCATACTTCTTGAAACGTGTATTATTTTTAATTTTGGTCAATTAAAATATTATTTTTGTATAAATACAAAAAAAATTTATGAGTGATTTTAAACCGAAAAGGTCATATAATCGATAGTTTTCGAGATACAGGGTGTTGAAATTTAAAAAAAAATCACCTTTTCTAATATTTCTGAAAGCATTCCATGTAGATTTATGAAACTTCCAGTGGGTGGTTTTAGTGGAAACGCCAAAAATTGGATGATATTTTGAAAATTCTACCACTATTTTTATGGAAAAAAAGATATTTCATATTATTTGAAAAACTAACTATTCCCGATTTATTAACGTTACCAAGCACATCATTAAACCTAAAATTACTCTAGAACTACTCGTTACGCAAAAAGAATTAATATATTTTAAGTACAGCGTAATCGTGAATAGGATTTTTTTCAGGACACCCCTTATTACCACTAACTGACAATTGTATTTCTAGAAAAAAAAAGGTCCTTTTTTTTCAGAAACGAAGGTCTAGAGTTGGTTTCCATTTTGCAGTTTTTGGTAAAGTACAAATGCAAAATAATGATAAATCGTAAATGGTCAGTTTTTCGAATGAAATGAGGCATAGCTTTTTTCTTGAAAATACCACAAGGAGTTGCAGGTAGGGAATATGTGTTCCGGGTTGGTATACACTTGGATTTTAAGGACTTAAGAAAGTAGTCAGATGGCGTAGTGGGTGGATATTTGTGTGAAATTTAGATGGCAATTGTTTAAAATTTTCTTTATTTTTAAAGCTATTTAAAAAGAAATTTAAAACAGCATATTTTATACATTTTATAGATTGCGTAACATCTGATTACTGAATCGTACATTTGCCAAGTTTAAAAAATATTTTAAAAACGAGACCGACGATCATAAGTAGATATGTGATAAAAAACTCGAAAATAGGTCTAAAACGTCAAAGTTGTGATAACTTTAATAAAACCCTTCCTCTTTTATATTGCACTAAATATTTCGATGTAGACAGCACCTCCAATTTCTTGAATGACTGAAGTGAATGAAACGGTTTTCTGTATGAATGTAGGCGATTCCAAATTAATGTGCCAATTTTAAACAAAAATATAAGAGACAATTTTTAGTAAAAGAATTTTTGTGAGCACGAGTTACAAAATGCTTAGTAAAAAGATAGGGAAGGTATACCTCGAAAATGTACCTATTCTAAATGGTACAGAAATGTTTTTTCATATATAAAAAGCCTTATCTTCTGTTTCTCCGGAACTGCACAAAGTGGCTTATTTTGCTCAAGTTTGTGGGGTACAGGCTCTTTTCCCATTTAGTTTGGTATTACAAATAAATTTGGGGTAACTTAATTGATTTTTGAAATTCAGTCGATTTCTATTTGTCTCCATCGTTATAAAAAATAAGACCGCATTATCTGGGTAGTGGTTCTGTCCTTAAAGGCTGTGGAACTAACAACTGTGTTCAATGTCTAGGTAAGCCCAGGGGTTGTCTTAGCATGTTTGCCCTCACAGAGCCTAGCCTGAGAACAACAACGGCAGGTCAAAGATTCCTAGGCGAGACTAAGGACTGGAAAAACCGCCACACTTTAAATGAATCAACATCATAACAAAATTAATACGAAGCGGTACTCATAAAAAAAACAAGAATTACTTTCTGTAGGCAAGAGCGTTGCCTTCTCCCGCTAAGTATGTTCATGCGACACACGCAGTGTGTGGAAAACCATCGTAGTGGACAGTGATTATTTTCTCAACCTCCTCCAATGCTCTTCACAGTGTTCCTCAAGCATACAAAAGTGGTCCGAAAATGGATCTAAAACCAGCTAACGCAGAAAGTCTATATTGTTCGTAGATAAAAAAAATGGCAAATTGGAAATCCTAAGCGATTGGTTTCACAAGTTATGGACGCTTTTGTATTTATGCTATACACATTCATGAAGAGCATTTGAGCACACATATACAATCCGTTTTTTAACTCCAAGTCAAACAAATTGAGCATGTATTTATTAGTTATTGTTGATATTATTTTTTTTTTTCGGAAATCGATTGATGCTTTAATCTGACAAAATTTTTTTTCGTTTTTACCAAATATCTCGAAGATTATGAAATAAAAAATTGACTGAAATCATCTTTAGAATCATGATTTTCAGAACAAGCTTACTGAAACCACTTTTAGCATGACCCAGGATCAACGGCGAGGACGCAGTGGTTAACTGATCCCTTTTTTGTTTTTTTCTATTTTTTTTAATTTTTTTTTGTTTTTTTTTTCTGTATTGTTTAATTTTTTTTGTTTATTTTTGTTTTTTTCCAGTATTTTTTTACAAACTTGAGCTACTTGAACAACAATTCACAACCTTGTCCATATATGGATAAGGTCGTGAATTGTTGTTTCACCTCTGGCAAAGTAGGATCTTCACTTAATGATTATATTGAGGAATTGAAGAAAGCTTTGGAAAGTATTGAACAACTTTCAGAAACACTGAAAATTCACGTGACTTCTTGAAGTTTTGGGAACGTTATAAAGTAAACATTGTGATACTTATTTACCAAATCTACTAAAAGCTGTGGTTGAATTTTCATCGCTACATCTGTAACTGTAAATTCGTATTTTGAAGTATTTAAAAAAAAATTGTACTACTTATTTCATTGTTATTGAAAAGAAAATTATTAAAACCTCTATAATTAGCTCAAGTTTGTAAAAAAGTACTAGAAAAAAACAAAAATAAACAAAAAAAATTAAAAAAAAAATAGAAAAAAAAACAAAAAATTAAAAAAATACAGAAAAACAAAAAAAGGGATCAGTTAACCACTACGTCCTCACCGTTGATCCTGGGTCACGCTAAAAGTGGTTTCAGTAAGCTTGTTCTGAAAATCATGATTGTAAAGATGATTTCACTCAATTTTTCATTTCATAATCTTTTTTTGAGATATTTGGTAAAAACGAAAAAATTTTTTGTCAGATTAAAGCATCAATTATTGATTTCCGAAAAAAATATGTATATAAACAATAACTAATAAATACATGCTCAATTTGTTTGACTTGAAGTTAATAAACCGATTGTACGTGTGTGCTCAAATGCTCTACTTTGCTCTTCATGAATGTGTATAGCATAAATACAAAAGCGTCCATAACTTGCGAAACCAATCGCTTAGGATTTCCAATTTGCCATTTTTTTCAACTACGAAAAATATAGAAACTTTCTGCGTTAGCTGATTTTGGATCCATTTTCGGACCACTTTTGCATGCTTGAGGAACACCGTGTCTTGGTGATTCTTCAATGATGGACTTGAAGGAGCAACGCGTGAATGTCAAATTATGTTTCCTATTGACGAAAACAGTGGAGGAAATGCTTTTAATGCTTCGAAGGAAAGTTCTAAGGCACACAAGGTTTTTCAAGTGGTTTGCCCAGTTTGGAAGTGACCGAATGTTACTTGAAGACGAACCCTGTTGGGGTCGCCCCTTAATGACCAGAACAAACGAAAATCTTCGACAACAAAAAAACGACAATCGACGAATTCGAGGAAATAACTAACCAAAGGATTTTGTCAGCATTGCAAAAGTCTATATAAATATATATATATATTTTTTTTCAAGAATTCGTCAACACTAATTTTTATGGTGGAAATATGACAAAAGAAATTGTAGTGTAATTCTCATTACATTTAAATATGAAAAAAAACCAAGTAAGGGCCACTTTTGTATCACTAAGCGAATATAAAAAAAGAGCACATATCAGTTTTGTCTGTTTGGCCTGTACCCTACACTCCCACCCAAAAAGTACCACCGACAATGACGAAGGCCATGTCATATCAAAAACGACAAGTTAAAGTCTCGCGTCAAGTTTAATTTGGGTCTCTTAATAAGACATTTTTAGAACTCGCTTATCTCTTACTAAGCATTCGGAACCCAAGTTAGCCCCTTTTTCTTAAAACGACGTTCTCCACCTCCGTCCAAGTCTCTGCCGCACGTAAGAACAGAACAATGATACCACAAACTGACACTTTTATTACATAAGAGAATTCTATGCATTATAAAATTAAATAAGTTTACTGCCCCCCCAAGTTAATAGCCCGGGTAGGTGGCGCTCGCCCCCTGATTATTCAAACTTAAATTAGAAAACTGCTGCGGTAAATTGTGATTACCTAGAAAAGGGTTGGGGGTCTGATTAAAATTCACTCCTTGGGGGTTCGCCTGTAACTGTAACAACTGATTTGCGGGAGCGACGTTCATCAGCTGAGTTTGGCTGCTGAACTGGTTCTGGTTGGAAACAAAGTGCGGATTCCACTGGCCCGCGTGGGAGGGCCACTGTGCGTTCATTGGCGGCATGCTGTTCTGAGTGATTAAATTTTGTTGGTGCGGGAACGCCGGGTACGACTGAAAATTCATTTGGGGGCAAGGGTAATTCTGGGGCTGAAATGAGGTTGGTACGTTGGAAAACTGATTGCAGTTGTTCGTGGGGGCGCTACCGTATAACGCCAAGATACTGTCCTTATCCAGTTTGACTTTTTCCTTTTCTGTGGGGACTATCTGATTGAAGAAGCTGTCTTCTTCACTTTTCACAGAGGATTCTGGCTTGGTGTTTTGTTCCGCGGTCGAGGAGGCGGAAATGAAGTTGCTGAAACTATCGTCTCCATTATGCAAACCTAAAACCATCGAAATAACACAATGACTGAAAATGGATGAAATTATTTAAAATTATGATTTGATGTATCATATTTATGTATAAAATAATTGCAACATTTAGTTTTTTATATAAAGGGTGTCATTGAAAGCCGGATTTTCCTCTTGGTATATTTTTATTTCTTGCGAAATGTGATAGTATTAAAAAAATTATAAAAAGTGAAATTGTGAGAAATATAAACTGTTTTTTTTTAACATTAATTTTGGAAAATTCAAAGATCTTAAAGTGAAAAGTTGGAGGTCTTCCAGTTTCTTAAGTTTCTGTTTTTCTGAAAATAGTACCTTACGTCATTATCCTGTTTACTTTTCAACTTTGTAATTGCAATAGTTTGCAAAGAATATTGTCGATTTGCAAAGGATCAATTATTTAAATGGTTTTTTCATTACGTATTTTAACCGGTAGTAGCCATCTTGAATTCAAAGTAATTTGCTGAAACACTTTTGGTTTAATGAATCATAAGTAGACTAAAGAAGAAATTCATGGGCAACTTATAAAAGGAAGAATTCTGCAGAGAATACATTTTGAAGGTATGAATGATTCTGTCTGAAATAGGCATGTACAGGATGTAATTACTTTTGGTTTCATCTACACTACACTTGGCCAAAGGACCCCGCACAAAATGAATGGAAACTGGGTCCCGCTAGATTTGGCTGGAATTGTGATATGTTATAGTTCTCGACATACGGGCCCAAAGTGATCCTATGGATAGTTTCAGAGATGTAGAGGCGGGGAAGTGTGTGATATCGACTATGGGCCTAAGTGACCGTCGATTCTCGGATTCTCGAAGTAATCTGTACAGATGTATAATAACTGTCGGTCAATGATTCAACCTAAAAATGACAGTCTATAGACTTCAATGTCATTAGATCGAGATAAATGAACCCCATACTTGTAAAAGTCGTGTCAAGGGCCCAACAAGCACCTGTGTTTAAAAAAGTTAGTTTTACATATACATTTTCCTGTTAAATGGCCTGTGCGTTCACCAGACTTAACACCTTGTGACTATTATCTTCGGGGCACTTTGAAAACAACAGTGTATGCTTCCACGTCTAACACTGAAGAAGAGTTGTGGAGGCATATTCAAAATGCCATAAATGTTTTAAAAAATAGCCCTTAAGAACAGCAAACGATGTCCTTCAACTTTCTTCGCCGAATTAACCTCTGTTGTAGAAACAGCGGTGGTCATTTTGGACAGTTTTTATAATAAGTTGTACTAAACTTAATAACATCAACTTATCGAAAAATGAAGTAACATATGGTATATTTTATCATAGTAAACAATAATTAAGAATTGATAGAATTGGACTTAAAGATCAAACTGAACTTACAGTCAACTTACAAAATCAGTGACTACTAGCACTTTGTTAAGTATTGTAATATGGGCGGCAAGGTAATTAAATAAAAAATCATTGCCCGAAATAGGAAAAAGTTATGAACAGATATTATCGCCCTACATCAATTTTGTAGGAGTTGTAAGTTTTAAAAAACACTCTGTATAACACCGAAATGTGTAGAGTGAAATCAAAACTCCACACCCCAAAAATAATCAAAATCGAATAATATGTATTCGAGTTAATTACAAAATTAAAAAATAATTCACGAACTTTGAGGCCATCTAGCGGCCAAACGAAGCGATTTCTGATATGGGTGAATTGGCCTAAATCTGCCCATTTTGAGTCCACGAATCTGTGGTCTTCCGTTGTACACGTTATTCTGGGACACCCTGTATATAAGTTACTTCAAATGACACCAAAGCTGATTAGAAAATTACTTTTACTTTTAAAATGTCATATTTACTTTTCCAAATGCCATTTTGAAAAGTATTGTGGATTCGTTAAGAAACTAAATTACTCATCACTTTTCACTTTTCGGTACTAATTGGAAACTGAAAAGGAGAAAGTGCAGAGTAGTTAATAAACTATTCACTTTTGAACTTTTAACTCTCACTTTTCAAACCACAAAAATCTTAAAACAGAAAATAGCCCAAAAAGTGAATAATAAGTAGAAAGTTGAAAAGTACCTTCAAAAAACAGGCCCCAAATGGTGACTATTCCATAAGAACCCTGTCACACTTGTTCATAGATTTTGTACAAGTGTCGCCATCTAGTATGTATTTTAATTCCTAAATCTATCTGGTTGTCTAGCTATATTACATATAAGATATAAGCAAGACTATTTTTATTACACATTACTACCTCTTATTGTTTTTTGGTATTAAACAAAAAATAAATTCACTATAAATGTTTCCACGAATAACTTTTCACAGTAATAAACTTTATATAAAAAACCGTATATTTACCCAACAGATCATCATCCTTTTTCTCCTTATTATCTGCCGCTACTTCACTAATGACAGTCCTGCCGGGTTTCGGACTTGGATTAGTAGGTTTAGGAAGTTGGGGGACCTCGATGTTCCCCAAACTTTTCTTCTCGATTACAGTCTTCTTCTTCTTCTTCTGTTTTTCAATTTCCTCATCGATTTCCTTCTCCCAATTCACTTTTGGTAGGGATGGTGGCACCCATTCGCGGGCAATGTATTTCTTGTGCTCATATTTTGCCCTTATAAAAGATTCCAAACTAGAGTCACTTTGAGGCCGTCTAAAATTATCTGGTAAATTTGCTTCGTACACGGCTCGTGCCCTGAAAATAGAAAAGGAGACTGGAAACTCGCATAAAATTATGTATTAAAACATGTAACTAAATAAATGTAGAAAGTGTTTTTTATGTATTTTACTGCTTTCTTATTTACATGCATATAATAGAGCACTTAACTTTTAGAATTTGTTTTATATAAATGTTACCGTTAAGCACAATAAAAAAAATTTGTTACAATGTTATGCAAAGCTTCTGTTCAAATACTCAAGGGCACAGTGAACCTTTATAATTTTAAAATTGTATAATCCGCTGCAAATATTTACCTGGAATTTCCCATTTGTTGTAAGGAAACCACTTGCTCTGGTGTCCATGTGTCCAAATTCACAGACTTAACCTTTGAAATATGTACACCCAAATTCCTATGTATTCCAGCGCAACGAATGCAGAGGAAAACACCGATATTCCAAGATGCCCATCTCGGACCTATAATTTTACTTATTGAAATTTCAAAATAAAATATCAGAAGCAAAGCTTCTCTGACTTTTAGTTACCCTTATTATTGTAAGTGATTACATCTCAATCGAAATACACCTTTAAATTAATTAAACTAAAGATAATTTTGAACATTCTTTTTTACAAAATTTTATCAAAACGATCAATGGAAAAAAAGGTAAAAAGTCATTTAACTTGATACCACAACTGACCATAAATAATACAAGTTCTATTAATAAATTAATTGGTTAGTAATAACTAGTGAGACCAATATTGTAGGTACTATAGTTATATCTATAAAAAAATAAAAATATAACACAATAATAATTAGATTCAGATTTAAATGGTTATAGGAGAATCAATGTGAAGAAGTACGACTCAAATGCCCTCTGATATTGATATAAAATTTATTTAACGATATGGATTAATAATCTTGATAAAAGTTAAAATTTTTAGATACCTATCATCGATTTTATTCTGCATACCTTTAGAATCGCAATCTACACAATATTTATTATCTTCATCTCGCAATAAATTATTTAACACTGACTGACACTTGTCTTGCAATTGTTTTGTCTTGTCCTTTTCAATTTTTGCACTCATTTCCTAAACAATTTATTTAGAAATTCCAATAAAACGGGGGTGTGTATCCATATAAAACGAGTATGCCACCTACATATAAATGTCAAAATCGGATTATGATAAATCGAAATTGTCAAACGTCAATTGACGACTCCTTGGATATTTAATATATGGATGGCGATATCACATTTTGGTAGTGTTAAACAATGCACTTTTGAATTAACAAACACATAACACATACACAACTTACGAATTGTTCTATAATCTAGGCCATTGTAAGTTGATAAAACAACCTGAGTATACATACATACATAGCACGAAGGGTAGTCTTGACCATAGATAAGAGAGATAACTAGTCTTGACTGACTAGACTATATAGTAAGAAAAAAACCAATGGTGTATTTGGGATTGCACTAGTCAACAGTGCTAAGTGCTAATATAATAAAAACACTCTATGTTGCTGTCAAGCTTTCGGAACTGTTTATTTTATATGGTTATAAGTATGTCTTGAGAAAGGAAATAAACATTTCCGAAAGCTTGACAACAGTGTTCTTATTATATGTACTAGCCCTTAGCACTGTTGACTGCAATCCCAAATACATCACTGGTTTGTCGTATTCCACCCTTCGAGCGAGCTTCAGGATTTCAGAACACCCCGTATATTCATAGAAGTCATAATCTTGTACCTACGGATATGCCGGAGACCGCNTTTTATTTTTTACTTAAAAAAATATTCGAAATAATTAATACCCGTTTCAGAAAAATAAAGAACATCGTTAGACGATTTTTTTTTCATGGTTGTTCGAATTTAAAATATGGCAAAATTTTAAATTCTGCCAATCAACTGCTGTGATTTCGGATCATAATTATAAAATTATTGGGGAAAAAACTTGACATCTCTTCCAGAAGAATGATTTTTTAATATTTCTATATTTTCTACCATGCTACTGATTTTTTTAATTTGAAGTACTACAAGTTTAATCCACCGATTTCTCAAATTGTACTACTAAATTAATACTTTCCATTTGTCTAAATACCCCAAACTTAAACAATTGGACTGTCCCAGAGAGGAATCACATAAACATAAATATTTTCAAATATTCATTTTTATTTTAAGGTAAAAGCTAGAATAAAATATAAATTTCACTTATTAAAATTTAATCTGGCACAATGGCAGAAATAATTAAAAATCATAATGGTTTATGGATGTAAATAATCATTATAAAATATATTCAAAAATCCTAACAGGAAAGGGAAAGCACTTAGCCTGGATCTATCATTTCATGAAAATAAGGTTGTTTATTTATATTTTCAATTATAATTAGGTCAACTTTATTATTTTGTCACTTTCCATTTTGTTTTATAAATTGATATTTTATATCAAATCGGTAAAAATTTTTAATAAATGCACAAAATCAATTTTTGAAAATCCTGTTAAGACTGGGAGTGGGAACTGGCCCACATACTTCTGTGAACTGGCCACAGGAACTGGCGCAAGAATGTGAATAAACATAGTTTCGAGTTTCGATTCGACACTTTCGACTGTTCGGTCACATGAATAAAAAAATATAGATAGGCGTATTCACTCAACTTACACGTGGCACGCGTACCATGGAACGGGCCATAGGAATAGGAAGGCTGTCGTGTGGATTGACTCTGACGTGACGTCATAGAAAGAGTCGACCGCTTTGTGTAGTCAACGAGCCAATCGATGGTGATATTCATAGGTGATATTCGAGAAAGAGCTACTACATAAACAAAGCAAATTTTTTATTTTTGGACATTTGGCAATTGGCTATTGTGTTTATCTGTTTGACATATTATTGATGGTCAAATTATTATGTTTTATATTAATTAAACAAGAAAACAAGTAATTATGTACAAGTCATAGTGAACGGTATAGCAAATATTTATCCGTGCGTAATAATGTAGGCATGAAATTAAACGAAATAATGAACTAGAAAATTTGGAAGTTGTGATGGCTACTAGTAGTGTCAGTACATATGAAAATAGTGTAGTAACAAAAGATTTTCATCTGTCCTCATCTTCAGATACTGGCCATCGTTTAACTCCTAATACACAAAAATGTCCATTGTGTGGAAAATTGAAATTAATTTTTTATTGCAAAGAATGTGTTCATAGCGGGTTATTTTCTAAATCTAAACTACCTGCAAAAGAAGAGTAAGTTGTTTTTGAAACAGTTAGAAGAATGAACTGTTCAATTTTGTTTTTCAGATATACAGATAAATACAAAGTACTTTTTGAATTGATGAGTGTTCGGAAAAAAATAGAACAAAACTGTCTAAAAGTTCTGAATAGCAAACTAGAAACTGACGTCTTGGTAAGATATGCAAATTGTAGCGTTTCTTTGACAATAAGCCCGTGGATTTTAATATATTTTATATAGCATGAAAAGAATACACGGATTCACTGAAATAAATCACAGTTTATAATTTATTGTGTTTTCTTAAAGAACACGACAAGATTCTTTAATACAAGTTTTGTTTTGCAGTATTCAAAAATTCGTCGTTCGAAAGATAGAAATAGGATTCTTATGAAAGTCGTAGAAGAAAAAAAGCAGATTATATCAGTCAACAATCTCAAGCTGAAGGATATTAAAGATAGAAATGAAAAACGTGATAGAAGTTTGCCCAGGTATGAGCAAAAAGTACAGGAATTGGAAAATTATGCAGCAGGCTGTAAGGACGAAGTTGAAAAGTGGTACGGAATTTCAAACGAGAAACAAAATCGTATCAGGAAACTAGTTAAACTTAGAATTCAGCAACTTTTTAAATATATTTTTCCAATTGTGGAAGTTAAACCCCTGCTGTAAGTATGCCTGTCTTGTTCCAATTTTGCTTCCAAGAAAGTAATTCGATTCCATTTATATAAAAATGGTTATTACTGATTATTATTTTTTTTAGTGAGGTAGAACCAGGTGATGATATGGTTTGCGCTTTAGCAGAAGCATCACAAACTACATACATCAGAGATCGGTGGGAATATACAGATTATTCTGGGGAAAAACAATATTGTATCGTAGCACCTACTCTTCCCAGTTCTGGAAATTATTCTGCTTACAGTATCTGGGGTAAGTACTAAGTATTATAATTCGTTTTTCAAACTGCACTTAAACTTTTGTCTATGCCATCACTGGGCAGCTTTTGAATTTTGTCGAATATCTGTGTTTATCAGTGTTGCCTGATGTCTTTTTTAACCAACTATATAAAACTAACAGTGTCAGAAAACAAAGTTGCAGTGAAAAGTAAATTCTTAAAACATTGTTTTTGTATTACTTTGTGGCATGTTATTTTAAAGCCGTCATATCTTTTTGATGTCAATGCTGATAAAGTGCCGAACCTTAAAAAAAAATTTTGCCTTTAAAAAATTTATTGTTTTTGCATGATGTATTAAATAATAGTCAATATTCGTATGTGGGTAGGCATGTGTAAAAACAGTATACGTTTTAAAATAATTAATTTTGCTGCTTTATAAGATGTATATAATAAATAAAATAAAAGATAAGTACTTGCTAATCATACAAATTCGAAGTATTATTTTAAAATGATTTCAAGTTCAGACCTCTGACATCAATCTAGTCTAAGTGAACTTTATAATACCAATCCACCTCATATCATATGACAACAGGGCAACGAATGGGCTGATATGTCATTGCTTCGTTTTATTACATTTATTTTATTTTTCAACGAGTGGGAAACCGCGGAGTAATTTAAGCTTGAGTAATATTTGGGTAATTGTGCATAATATTTGGACATTAAAACAATTATTCACGTCATATGTACGACGTATATGCGTCATCTCTCCAGTCTCTTTCTATTATTTAAGCGATAGTTTAATTATTTATGAAAATGAGTATTTTACTGTACTAATTTTGATGGGAAGTTTCCCTCTCGGTTTCCAATTTCTCTGTTTTTCAGTACAGTGTGTTTATGTGTCTTAATTGTAAAGTTTCTGTGTGATATTACAGGGTTCGTAGCAGCCGGGAATACCGGGAAAAGTCAAAGAAATACTCGTGAAAGTTGGGGAATTTCATGTTTGCAACTGGAAATTTTGTGAAAGCCGGTCCTGGGTTCTTGAAAGAGAAAACTATTTGTGGTTTTGAAACCTTTATGAGGTTGTTAGGGTATAAAAAAGATTATGGAGTCCAGTCGAAAAAAAAATTTAATGCATGGATTTTTTTTTATGTCGAGGAAAACCTGGAAAAGTCAGAGAATTCTTTATTACTTTTGAACTATGAACCCTGTATTATTAAAAAATGTATATACAAATCATGAAAGCTGAGATTCTAGAACAATGCTATAATTTGTTTTTTTTTACAGTTTCACAAGGTCAAGACGCTGCTCTCGGTTCTAATACAACTCATACTGTGGATCACGCTCCCGCTTTGACTATCAGCGCCGCCCTAACATACACTGCTCAATTAGTTGACATCCTATCATTTTATTTAAACGTGAGACTTCCACACAAGATGTTTTACAGGTAAGTTGTGTATTTCAGTACCAAAACGGGACAAAGAATTTCTTTATTGGAAAAATAATCGAGGATTGTAATTTGGACGATATTTTAAACATTCATTTAAAGTTTTAAGAAGTATCTGAAATATTTTTTTTTTTTTAGTGATTTCTGCAGTAACAACATGGGAGAGCAGCAATTCATAAGAAGGATAGCGAGATTGAATGCTAATATTTTGTACATGTGCTTTTCCCAGAACGTCAATCCTCATTCCTTAAACGCGTACGAAACCATTCACAATATGTTGAGATTAATTCAGGATGAAAACGCAGATCTGGGAAGGTATACTTATTTTGCATCTGTAATTCTTGTAATAGCAAAACAAATTAAAGATACAGGGTATTAATTAAGTATGTCGACAGACTGTATTTGGGTGATCTTCAACTAAAAATTGTGCGTCCGCAAATCCACAGTTTTCGGAATAAAGGGTGCTGAAGTTTGGAAAACATTTCAAATTTTCTGATATATACAGGGTGGTCCCGAGGTAATGGGCCAAAATTCATGGGTAGATTCCCAAAGTAAAAATATTGCGATTTGACCGAACTTACCTTAGTCCAAAAGTTGATAGTTAAAGAGATACAGGGTGTTAAATGTAAAATATTATTTCAGTTTTTTTTAATTTATTCCTTAACAAATGCAAATATCCTCACAAAATTTTGGGGATTGGAGTGAAATCTGTTTACATTTTGGTTAAAGTTCATAGAGGGCGCTAGCTGCAGTAGATTGAATGTGTTAAAAAAATAACAACTTTTTTGTACTTTAACCCTTTCGTTGCGCAATACGTCTGAACGTAGCTACCGCGCCGTGCGCGATTGTTTATCGCGTGCGAATATATACGTCTGGAGCAGTTAGACCACTTATAGTTTTACATTATGTTGTGTTAAATTACGATTTACGATAAATTTTACGATTTTATTTTGAATAAAATACAGTTGTTTCGAAATGGACTGTATTTTTTTTTACAACTGGTTCGTTGGCATATGATTCTAATTGTCGGCACAAAAAAATAATTGAGAATATGAAATATAAACAAAATGCGATCGGTGGTTTTCTTACCTTGAAACTAGGCGTCTTCTTACAGGAATTTTCACACCCTCGCACTTATATCGCAGGCTGATACCGGCCGGTTTCGTAATGGAAAACACCAGAGGTTTTTGATAGCGGAATAATAGCGAACACAAGAGAGCGTATGGGTTCAAAGAGAGTCACCATTCAAGTCCATTATTTCGAGTCGTCGCCAATNAAAAAAAAAAAAAAAAATCCAATTCCATTTTATTGGAAATTGCCAAAAATTGAAGTGACTAATAGTTAAACAATGATATCACAAAAAAAAATAAACAACAACAAACAGGTGAGATTTTTTGCAACAATAGAATATTTAATTATATTTCAATATTTGTAAAGGCTGTCGGTGGCAAGCCTTAATCTCCCTAAAAATTATTATCGTGGGTTATTATTTTATTGACATGTTTAATTAATACCCTGGTAATTAAAATGAGAATGTCGAGCCGCGAGATTATGGCTCAAGACTGTTAAAATAATTACAGGCAGGGGGCTCTGGAAATTGCTCCCGAAGACGTGGATGCTTTGGAAGAACCATTAATAAACGATCTTAAGAAAAGCGATGTGTCATTTTCGGAGGAAAGTGACTCTTTTCCGATAGAGTGGGAGGCGGTAAGTGACATATTTTAATTAGATTAAAAGACGATCTATTTGAACTTGACAAATTTTCCAAAAAGAAATCCTCTTTTGCGGTATTTGAAATATTACATTGGCAATAGTCAAAATGAGGAAATTAATTTAGGATTACAATACTGCCCTGTTAACGGAAATGGATGTATTTGCAAAGTTGTCATCGCATATTAGGTGTACTATGTAGATCTCCTAAATTATTATTGATGAACGATTTTAGAAATTCTTTCAAATTTATCAAATTATTTATTGCGTAATTTGCATGAAACGGCAAAAATTATTATTCTAAAACGGATTAGTTTTATTTGCAGGGTAGAATAAATGTTTTTACTTACCTACCGTAATGAATTTAAAAAAAAAAATTCTTTTAACATTCACCGATATTTTTATCGTTTTTTTATCTTAATCCACTGTTTACCATTTAGGTACCCCATATTCCCGAAATTGCAGCAGAGCCAACCAATGTCCAATCACCACAAATGACGGCTACTCAGCAAGCCAGTAGCATGACTGGTGGATTAGTCAACAGCGCAGCAGCGAGCATAGCTTCCTTTTGGCGTGGCTTTACTGGCGGCCGGTAGTCTAGTGCGATTTTAGATTTTCACTTATATTCATTAAAAACTATTTTTTGAAAATAAAGTTTTGTAAAGCTCTTTTTGTAAATTTGATTTTTTTTTCTATAGGGTTTAGTCTGTGTCACTGTGGTGACACACTGGGTGATGAACCTGTTGCAGGCAGAAATTTTCATTGTGAAAATGAGCAACTATAGTCGGTGCCGTTTTTTTAGGGAAAATCTTGGAAAGCATTTATTTAGAATTGAACGTAGTTCAACAATTTCTAGGTAGTTGGAAAATTCAAAATTGTAAAATACAAAAAGTTAGATATATTTGTACAGTGATAGGACAGTGTAACTAGCGCCCCCTAGACGTGACCCCAGTACTTGTTTGCATATTCATATTTGCCACCTCAAAAATATGTGGAACTACAAATTTTCAAAACAATCGATCCATACATACTTAGAATACAGAGTATCCCGAAATTCATGCAACAAAATTCGGTCATAGATTCTCGAGACAAATTTAAGGGACCCGTATTTTTTCATTTTGCCAACTGGCCACCACTTTCAGAGTTAGAGCCCCCTGAAATCTGCCACGAAGGTCTTTTTTATATATCAAAACCATGTACGAGAATCACTAAATTTGGTACACAGGGATTTTATGAGGTGGAATCTCACAGTGCTACGCTTTTTGACGAGAAACTCCCTTAAGACACTTTTTCATGGGCCCCCTTGTCTTTGGAACCAGAAAACTTTGGTCGCAAATTTTTATTTTTTTTTTAATTATTAATTAGCTAGAAAGCCATTGAATTTAGGAACTTTTTTGTCTCTTGATATTTGCTTCGTAAAATGCAATGTTTTTGAGGAAAAAGGCGAATCACGATATGCATTTGATGCATTTTGACATTTTTCTCGAAAACATTGCGTTTTACGAAAAAAGTATAAAGTGACAAAAAGTTTCTAAATTTAATGGCTTTCTAATGGACTGATAATTTTTAAGAAATTTAAATATGCGACCAAATTTTCTTGGCTCCAAAGACAAGGGGGCCTACGAAAAATTGTCTTAAGGGGGTTCCCCGCCAAAAAACATAGCACCATCAGATTCGACATGTCATAAAATCCCTGTGTACCAAATTTCGTGATTCTCGTACAACAGAGTTCTGAGATATAAAAAAAAAGATTATTCTTAGGGGCGGACTTCAGGAGGCTGTAACTCCGAAAGAGGGGGGCCACTTGGCAAGAATAAACAATACGGGTGCCCTAAATTTGTCTTAAGAATCTGTGACCAAATTTTGTTGCATGAATTTCGGGACACCCTGTGTAGCAAAAAATCGAAAATAATTTTTCCATTATTAATGACTCGCCCTGTATAATATATACCGATGGTCCATCTGCCGTTACGTGAGAGCGATAAAGTAAGACATAGAAATCCGTGCGATAGAGAAATATGGCTATAATGAAGGCGTCTAATAGTCACCGCCCATTTGGCCCTTTCACAAATAAGAGGTGGATCTTATTTGTGGAAGGGCGAAACGGGCGGTGACTATAAGACGCCTTTATTATAGCCATCCTTCTCTATCGCACGGATTTTTATGACTTACTTTATCGCTCTCACGTAACGGCAGATGGACCATCGGTACTTTCCGACCCTGTAGACAAAGTGTACGTTTGGAAGTTTAGGAAGTTGTCAGGAAATTTTTATTTAAAAAAACTTTTCTGTATGCTGTTTAATTGTGGGTGTAAAGCCGGGCGTGTGAAGTAAGGAGAGATTTAACAATTTTGGAAACGTCACGCGAGGCTGTCGTAACCACGAAACTTCTTTGGAATATACGTTAATGTGTGCGTTAATGATCGCATAATTAAGAAGAAACCTGTACCTGATTAAGTCCACGAGCCCAAATAATATTTCTATTTTTTATAAAATCTAAATGGAAATCCTTCTCGAGAACGATAGTTTTTTGGTAATATTGCAAATGCAACTAAAAATTTCTAGATTCATTTAATTTGACAGTTTGACCTTAAAAATTTGAAAATTTTTGCACTTTTTTTTAGTCAATGAATATAATTATGTTAGCATGAACACATGACCTTTCGTACCGATATGGATACTTTAACATCTGGACGCTATATTGAGATGTGTAAACAACCCTTGTTGTGTTTAGATAAGATTTTGTATTTAAGCATAGGATAAGAAGATAAGTCAGTTCAGTTCTTATTAGCATTTCTGTTAGAGATCTTATACTCGTTAGTATAAATAAATAATTTTTAAGAATATAATTTGTCAGACAACTTCTTTAATTATATGCTTTACCTATCCTCAATGTCACGAGCCGCCACTGGCCAAGACGCTGAAACCTGAAACGAACTCTTCCGTATATGCTTTTGTAACGATGGTTGCAGCCACAAGACATCTAGGAATAGGAATTCGATAAACGCAACCGCGCCATTATTCTATGGCTAGAAATTGGCCTCAATGATTTGGGATCGAGGGGGATTATCCCTCTTTATCCTGCCTCATCTCGTGTAGGCCTGGACAGCCTTCGTAGGTGGGCCCCATCCGTCGTCTACCCCGACCGCAAATGCGGCCGGTGTAGGCGCTTTGTGGGACCTCCTTTTGTCCTGGCTGGGCCCCGCCGGCTAGGGCCCTTTCTTCTGGCGCTCTTCTTGCTTCGCCGGCTCGTCTGTGTAAACCCCGGGGGTAGTGTCATGTTTATGTGTGGTATGGTTGGGTAGGGTAGTGCGGCTATGCAGCCTGGGATGCGCTTTGCTAAGGTGGCCCTTAGGCTAGCGCGGGAGGGGAGGGGTAAGGAGGGTATGGGGGGTGTGTATGTGTGTGTGTGTGTGTCGTTGTCTTCGTTTCTTGATCCTGGCTGTCTCTGAAACAGAAAAGGTTAGCGGGCAGGGGGGGGGTCATTGGGGTGGTCACCCAGGGTCAAAAAGTTGGTGTCTAGGTCTTTTGTGTTTGTCGGTCACGTCGGGTACGTAGTCAACGGCTTGCCTGAGGAGGGGATTGTCATGTCTAGCGGCTACGTCAAATCGTTTCTCCGCGTTTTGTCTTATTGTCTGTGTAGCGTTTGTGTATTGTAAGTCTCGTAATATGTCAGTGTTTCTTACGTACCAGGGCGCGTCGGTGGCCGTGCGGAGGGCTATGTTTTCCACAGCCTGTAATGACTTTAAGTGGCTTTTTGCCGCGTGACCCCACGCCGTGGAGGCGTAGGTTAGCTGCGGTTGAAGTACCACCTTGATAAGCGTTCGCTTATTCCTTAAACTGAGGGTGTTTCCACCTTTGAGTAAGGGATAGAGCCTAGCCCTGGTGGTCTTCGCTCGCGCCACCGTCTCCACGATGTGCGGTTTCCACGTGAGACGCTGGTCCATCGTCACGCCCAGGTATCGTGTTTGTCGATTCAAACGCAACCGATGTCGACGGACGGACTAGAGATGGGTGCGAGTGTCATTTCATTTCTTTAGAACTAAATTAACTTAATTATTTTCTCGTTATTTACCCTGTTCACATGATTTATGGATTTTAAATAAAGGGATACAAATCTTCGCGAGTATAATACGATATATTTGCTATACATAATAATTATATTTTGCATAGCTTATACACAATACATTTTTGAACACGTACACACCTCTACCAAAATTTGACCTATTCTTCGAGTTAAAGTCACACATTGTCCGCTCTTTACTGATTAGTGATGGGCAAAACGATTCATTTTGATGTTTCGAATCAAATGACTCATTTCAAAGTTGAGAGTCGAAACTGGGAGCCGACTCTTCCGACTCCCAACTCCCATGGTAGATATCGAATCGCTAAGTTCGTAATTCGCATAATCACGGTGGCCCGTCTCGGAACGGACGGAAATAGCGGAATCTGGGCCGATTGACGAATTTTGTCGATCTTGAGCTTGACCGATAATTCGATTACATATTTGTTTACTGAAACGACTAAAATTGAAATTAGTTCTTCCACTGCAGTCAAGGGTTATGTACTTAGTTCTTTCACTGAAATTTGTTGTCATACAAAAATGCGAATGAATGCGACGATAAAGCATATATTCTCTTCAAACGTTTACAAATACAAACGCAAACCGTTTGCTACCGTTTTTCCCTGTAGATTGTGGCCATTGTTGCCCACACTCTTTACTCCCTATCAGTATCAAACGACTTGCAAATCACTAAATATCAGTGATCACAGGCACAGCTACACGCCGATCCAAATCGCAAAACGAATCTGACTCACATCTGACTCTCGGCCCTGGTGGTTCAGCTGTACACTATAACGGATTCGACACTCCACACGGAAGTCGGTGAATCATCGGAGTCGACTCTTACATATTTTGGGAGTCGACTCAGATGATCTAAGCCAAGAGTCGACTCTCTGATTCGAAACATACACTCACTAGCCAACACTATTACTGATCAAGTACACAGTACAAATATGTGGTACAGATTAGACAATGTAAAACCGGCGTCCAAGCGTCACAGCGTCTGCATGAAAATTCAGGAAATAGAAAATTGAAAATTTGTAGAGCGTCTCGACCTCGGAAGATATGAAATAATGTATACAGAAGTAACACTTTTCAGCGTCTCTGCGTCCACATAAAAATACGCCTTTAATTTTCATTAACATCTACCATTTAAGACAATTCGGAAAGAAATGAGAGTAAAAATGGCATCATAAATTGCTATCTGTGAATCGATACATTTTTGCACGGTCCGTATTACCGTATTACAGACCGTGACATTTTTGTTCCTACATAATTATTCTGTATGATCTCTTTGTTCGTGATCCATTCTATGTTCTATTCAACCACATACTTCTATAGATAGAAGTATGTGTATTCAACACAACAGAAGTGGTGGAGAATGGAGATAAAGAAAGATACCTGTTGTATCTACCGTTACTGTTATTATTTTACTGTCTAAACTTTTAAAATGTTTATAAACGATGTTAATAAAAAGGAAGATATAAGAAAAATCGCTGTGCAATCTCTTCGAAAATATGGCATAAAATTTAGAGAAAAACATCATAGACAAATTTCACAAGTATGTGAGAATATTTTTCATAAATAGGTTAAATAATGGTTCATCTGGATTTATTTACTTGTAGATGTCATCCCATTACTTTGTTAATTTTGAAGATATACAAACAAAATTTTTGCTAGCCAAACTTATTTTTGTCGTACTGAAATCTTCCAAAAGCAAGCAAATATTTGTAAGACACTAAGTACCTACATTCTTTCTTTGTGGCAGCCTGACTTCTTTTGAAACATATCTTTATTCGAAGTCTTTAAAAATCAATAATTTCACTGTTTACAGTAACATCTTCCATTTTTTTTTTTTGTTAATAAAAACGATAACATTACAAAATATTTTATAAAACTTGTGTTTGTCATTAATTTTATAAATGCTGTACTATTATCCAGTTTCTTTAATTATGATTACCGTTATATCCAATATATCTTAAATTTAAGATGTTTACTTATATGATTTTTGTTATCCTTCAGTCATAACTTAGAATTTAATTTTTCTTGTTTTTACTTTTATAGGTTTCTAAAAGTACGAGATTCTTTAAAGTACGTTTGCAAAATCTTGAAAATGAAACCATAACTTTAAAGAATGGTCAACAGTTAGTCATTCCTAAGCAACTGTATGAAATATGCTGTTTCATATTCAATCATGTAGACACTGAGGGAATATTTCGTAAAGAAGGATCTCGATCAAGACAACAAGAGATTAAGGTAATCCTTGACATATTTAATTGCAGCAATATTTTTAATTTTCTAATTTATTTCCTTATTTTTTTGTAGTTGCTGTTGGACAGAGGTTGTTTGTTAGATGATCAGCATGTGATTGACGTTGCAGTAGTTTTAAAATATTTCTTAAGGGAGCTGCCCGAACCACTCATTCCTTATTCGTTTCATGAATTGTTTTTAAGGTGCTCGTTAATCGAAAAGAAAATTGAAGCCATTTTGTTGGCATGTTTGCTGTTGCCATCGGAACATTTAAATGTACTTTCTTTCTTAATGCAGGTAAAATTTTGTTCAAAATACTATTATCATGAAACAAACTTATTTACTGTAATATTGATACATAATATGACAGGTAACATACATGATTTTGTAGTTTTTTAGCGAAGTAGCGAATCGTTCACATTATAATAAAATGAATAGTTCTAACCTTGCAACTGTGGTAGGCCCTAATATATTCCCAATTAGTGAAAAAATTGATGCTAAAAATAAGCTTATGGTTACAAAGTCCTGTAATATAATTAAGGTAGGACGATCATTTTTGTATTGTCAATGTATTTAATAACTATTCTTTCAGATAATGATAGAAAATTCGCATCACATAGGCGAAATACCAGATTATATAATAGAGCAAATAGGGGATTCGGCAACTTCGGGTCAGCACGTAAATATTGATATGAAAATGAAAAGGAGAAGTGGGTCTTTTACAAGTACGTATTAACATTGACTTTTTTTCAGTGGCGTTAGTATATTTTGATGTAACAATATTCTATTTTTTTTAAGGAATTTTTCACGGTCTGAAAAAAATTGTGGGAAATAAATTGGACGAGGATATAATGTATAATACCGTAACGCCCGATTTACTGTTGACTCCAACTTTCCACCATTCGGGAAAAAGGTCAGTATCCATACAAATCTTTTTATTTTGAAGAACCAAATCTGTGAATATTTTTATGCACTTCATGGTTTCAGGCAATACGAAAAGACATTACCACGGATCAAAAAAAATGAAGAGATCATAAATCGAAAAAGTGAAACCCACAAAGCGATAAATCGTAGATGGTCGTCTATTACGCAAGCATCAATTAAAAAGAAAAAGAGACATTCGTTAATTGACACATCGAGTAAAGAATTTTATGAACTGAGAAGCGACAGAAGCAAAAACTTAAACGATCATCTGCAAGTTTCGGAAAAAGAATATGAGGATATCAAAAACAGAGTGTGTAAAATCGAGAAGGAACTCTCGAGGGAATTGGAAAACGTTAAACCGAAATCTGTTTCCGTTAACGACATGAATGTAGGGTTCGGTGGCACTATCAATAACATCCAATCAGCATACGAACAGACGTTGGTTCAAACCGAACCACTAAGTCCGACTACAGACCATTTAGCTAGACGTCTGAGCAGGGAACTTCGAATTCGGACAACATCGGAACAAAAAATAATTAGGTCGCCGAGTGCCAGAAAAATAGGAAATATGAAAAGACGGTCTAGGGAATTAGAGAAACCAAATAATAAGATTTTTAAAAGCTCTTCATTCCAATTCGCCGACATTAACAACTCGAATAACGACGGAATTAATTGTTCGTCACCCGACGACATTAAATTCAGAGAGGAAGATATGACAATAGTCAACGGACAAAATCAATATTACGGTGTTCCTGAACTGACAAATTACTCTTATAAATTAAATAGCCACTTATCCGTTAACCCGCTCGACCAGCACAAAATCAACCGTTTTAAAACGGACAATTACATAAACTCGAAAGTATTATCTAACGGCATGTCACCATTTAAATTCAACGGCGGAAGTACAAATTTATTCGAAAATAAAGACGCTGTGTGTAAAAATAAATGTGCTTCTATAAACGATTTGTTAGGTAATATAATTTTTAGTAATGATCATCTCGAAGGAGATTCCGTAAACAATTGTGTTAAAATTTCAAAATTGAAAGATAAGTCTGTAAAACCAAATAATGCGTCTTCCGTAAAGAGGAACATCAATTTAAAACAGAAATGGAAAAGTGAAAAGGCGTCCCACACGAAACGATTGAGCACGAACAGCAAAGAGAATTTAATGGCTTTTGCAGATGACGCTGCGAACGGCAAATATAACAATTTACCATACATTAAAAAGTCATTGATCGTTAAGTCTCCGAAACGCTTCTGCGGAACCCCCACATCCATTAAAAACACTCCTTTAAAGGTATTGTCTGCTTCCCAGTGCCTTAATACGAATATATCTTTTTAAAAGTACTTCTTTACTCGTTAGGTGAATAAACCGGAGTAAACATAATTTAAATGTAATTAAATTTATATATTTTGTCAAATATTAATGTATTATTTTTAAATATAATTATTTTCGCAATATATGAAAATTATGTAGTTTTTAATGTCCCATTAAAAATCCAAATGTTACAATCAAATATTGGGATTTTGCCCCTAGAGGAAATAAATCTCTATAAATCGTCGACTACAAAATGCAAACTGCCAAAGCCTCTCCTCTTATGAGGAACTAAGTATTTAAGTTCATGAAGTGCTAATAGATGACCCTCTTTTTGTAGCGTAACTAGGGGATAAATTCGAAATTTGTAATATACAGGGTGTCCCTGAAAAGGATGGACAACGCTTGACCACAGGATGAAAATAAGACTATTTAGCCTAACTTACCTATATCTGTACCTCAGGGCTAAACTGTATTAACTCCATTTTTTACGAAAATGGGATTATTTGAGAGCCCAACACAGTTTCTTATGCTCTTTCACGTGCTAAACAGTAATAACTCCCACTCATGATATTTTCGAAGATAGACAGTGCTAAATAATAATAAGTCCCAACCTGTCTCCAAGCTAGACAATCGTATGTGTATTTAATATTAACCGTGTTTCATTTCCACAGTATTAAGTTCCTTGTTACATCAATTTAGTCCGAGCCAAACAGGTGTATATGTGGAGTTAATATTCTATTAGTTTGACTTCGGAGTATTAACTCCACACATATCAAGATCATGTTGGTTTACTTTAGTATTATATCCACATTCATCGTGTGTAGACATGTTTTTGTAGTGTTGGTGATAACTGGTAAATTATTAGTTATTGAAAAAGTGACTGATGACATGTAAAGGCGACATTTCTGTTTAAAGAATAATAATTACATTTGTTTTTTCTATTTAGTTTATTAAAAATCAAAAGTGTTGTTGGTTTGTTTTAGTTTTTCAAGAATATTATATGATTATATTTTTAAACATATTTATTGAATGTAGTTTATTTATTGTTTTGTTGTTTGTACTATTTCAATAAAAAAAATTAAATGGTAGTTTTTATCAGTATTATCCTCAGTATTATCGCACAATTAGTAGATAATATAATATAAATACCCTAAATCATGTTTGTGCCAAATAGTGTTAACTCCATATAAATAATATTAAAATAGACGTATAACTTCACATCATATTAAATTTTTTTATCTAGGAGAAGTAAAGAATTCGAAGTTATGGAATGATAAGCAAAATTTAAATCTTTAAATCTCTCTCCTGTAAAATTTCATTTTTGGCACTTAATACAGTTTAGCTCTGAGGTACAGATATACATATTAGCACAACTTTATATGAATATCTAAAGACGTAGAAGGAAAACACAAATATATCATGCTAAAGCAGGGTAAGCCTAGCAATGAAAATAGGAATCTTGATCGTTGCCCTTAATCCTGTATGTTAATTGTGAAATTAAAATGGATATTGATGTGCCACATTGATTTGATTATAATGGCTGTATTTTAATTAATGCACAAGCCATATAAAGCTGTCGAGGGTCACAGAGAATAAACAACTGTATTCATTTCATTATAATAAGATATGGCTGAAAGCGCACAATAACTTGTTGTTTTTAAAACCTTTTATGTATCGCAAGACTGTAATATGAAGAAAATGCTAATGCGAATCCTCTACCTAATGGCTTACACTTGTCGCTGCAATATTTTGTATGAAGTTATGGTAAGGGGAAGCGATAATTTTGCCTAGGAAATATTTCGTTTACCTACTTTGAAACATACGCTTGCATAAATGATTACAAGCCACCTGACGAGTAATTTTGTTTGGAACAGGAGTTTTATTTCCTTTATTTAATTCTAGCCAAATGGGAAAAATAATCAATATTACTAGTAATCAATTGTGTGTAAGTTATTTAGTGCCATTATCTCTAGCCATACTTCCTAAATTTTAATCCTTATCCTAATTCTACAGGAAAAATTGTTGCCATTTTCTACCAGGAGTTTTCATTTGTAAGATTGTACCAGATTTTGCCAAATAATTTCAAACATTTAATAACTGAATAATCTAAAGCTTATCAAATAATAGGAATGTTATGTCATGCCACCTGAGTATTTTCAAAGACGCCGCAGTAAAACGAATAAACAGGTGTAAAAAACGATCAAACCATCAAGGTTTTAGGTACTGAAATCTACGAAAATANATAAAGATCACTTGATAACTTTTCTAAAAGTTCATATATATGACATGTATTTGGTGTCAAATTAATCAGCAAGGCATTAGCAATATAAAAAAACTAATTTGAGTATAATTTTTTTTTAACAAAATTCATCTGATATATATAATGATATATATTTTGATATTTATCACCCAAAACTAAATAGCATGCTATTTTACATCACTAATTTAGCCGCCTAACTGACCTATGCTGTACCTCAGGGCTAAACTGTATTAACTCCATTTTTTACGAAAATGGGATAATTTGAGAGCCCAACACAGTTTCTTATGCTCTTTCACGTGCTAAACAGTAATAACTCCCAGTAATGAGATTTTCGAAGATACGACGGTGCTAAATAATAATAAGTCCCAACCTGTCTCCAAGCTAGACAATCGTATGTGTATTTAATATTAACCGTGTTTCATTTCCACGGTATTAAGTTCCTTGTTACATCAATTTAGTCAGAGCCAAACAGGTGTACCTATATGTGGAGTTGAGTTAATATTTTATTAGTTTGACTTCGGAGTATTAACTCCACACATATCAAGATCATGTTGGTTTACTTTAGTATTATATCCACATTCATCGTGTGTAGACATGTTTTTGTAGTGTTGGTGATAACTGCTAAATTATTAGTTATTGAAAAGTGACTGATGACATGTAAAGGCGACATTTCTGTTTAAAGAATAATAATTACATTTGTTTTTTCTATTCAGTTTATTAAAAATCAAAAGTGTTGTTGGTTTGTTTTAGTTTTTCATGAATATTATATGATGTTTATATTTTTAAACATATTTATTGAATATAGTTTATTTATTGTTTTGTTGTTTGTACTATTTCAATAAAAAAAATTAAATGATAGTTTTTATCAGTATTATCGCACAATTAGTAGATAATATAATATAAATACCCTGAATCATGTTTGTGCCAAATAGTGTTAACTCCATATAAATAATATTGAAATAGACGTATAACTTCACATCATATTAATTTTTTTTATCTAGGAGAAGTAAAGAATTCGAAGTTATGGAATGATAAGCAAAATTTAAATCTTTAAATCTCTCTCCTGTAAAATTTCATTTTTGGCACTTAATACAGTTTAGCTCTGAGGTACAGATATACAAAAGTTCACGCCTACTGAGATATAGCCTTCTAAATATAGAACAGATAACCTAGCTTTTTTCAAATAATTTGAAAACTTTTTCTAGTCCAATTAACTAAGCCTTTAAATCGAAATTTTGTCAACTTGGCTGAATTTTTGATATGAGTTAGTTTAAGGTATATTATAACAATAAGTGAGAGTAATTTTTTGTTCAACCCCCGGCCAAGGGTGGAAAAAGATAAAACAAAGGGCTTTTTCAAGATAACTCAAAAAGGGTAAGAGCTAGAAAAAAA